CGTCGGCCCGTCGAAAAACTGAATCACGGTCGGTTGCCGCATTACTACAACAGTGGCAACAAATACACCAAACTACGACAACTACTCTACTAGCATTGCTTCTAGCTTACCAAACCCACGGTCCTGTGTTTGAGACCCAGGCCGAACATTTTTTTACACAAAATTAAGTTGAATGTAGGCCAAATAATGCAGTTGAATGTAGGCCAAATAGGTAAGTTATTTTTCTTTAACTTCATTGAACATTGCTAACTCACAACACTTAACTGAATATTGCTAACTCACACTACTTAACTGAATTTTGTTTACTGACAGTAGTTAATTGAACTTAGGTAACTGACAGTAGTTAACTGAACTTAGGTAACTGACAGTAATGCCACATGTTTGACATCATAGTTTTTAGTTACAAAAAATGTGACAGTACCAACTGCCACCAAATCAAGCATCAGGGGGAGCATTTAGATTAGGAATTAGGCTGTTGCTCATATCTTCTCCAAACATCAGCCACCATGCCCTCTCACCTGGGATTGCTCCTCTTCCTGTACCTACATCTGCATTTCTTCCTCCCCTACCTCTACCTGCACCTGGAATTCCTCCCCTGCCTCTCCAAGCATGCACATTTCTGCCTCCTCTTGCTGGAACTGCATGAGCATTTGACCCTCTTCCCAGCACTGGATTTGCTCCTCTTCCAAGCATTGCATTTGCTCCTCTTCCTGGCACTGCATTTGCATTAGCTCCTCTTCCAAGAACAACAGTTGCTCCTCTTCCTGGCACTGCATTTGCATTATCTCCTCTTCCAAGGACAGCATTTGCTCCTCTTCCTCTCCTTGCTGCTGGATTTCCTTCTCCTCTTCCTCTCCTTTTCCTTCCTCTTCCTCTGCCAGTAGCTTCAGATCCTTCTCCCTTGTCAGCTGTTGTTCTTGCCCTTGTCTGTCTAGCAATGTTCATCTCTGTAGTGACCCTTGGCTATGGTATTGCAGCACCAGCAGCTGCAACAAATGAAGACTGTTCTGGCAATGGGCCATGAACTCTTTGTTGAGCTCTTCTAGCTCTATCCCTGGTAGCCATGTTGAAGACCATGCTGGTGGGTGACTCACTAGGATCTAACCTAGGATCTGGCCTGGTGGGGTATATGTTCTGCAGAGAAGAAGCTCATATTATTCAGTTGAAGATGAAACATTGTTCAATTACAAGTGATACTTTATTTAGTTACAAATGAGACATACCCGCAGAAAAGTAGGATCATCATAATTTTCATCAACCAGCTCTACACCTTCTTCAACAAGTGCTTCCTGCCATCTGTAATGGCCCTTTCTATTGTGGTCAGCTCTGCCACATATGGAGCAATGCATTGTAACACCTTTCTTGTTCAAATATCTCACACCATGTTTGATTTTCTCTTCAGGTGTTTTTTTCCTGTTTTTCTTTGGCCTGCCCAGCTGTTTGGTGAACACTGGTGGAAATACCTTGTATCCTGGCTGCACCTCCCAGTATTCAGGATCTCTTAGAGGGACCAGTGTGTAGCCATATGCTTTCAAATAATTCTCCACAGTGTAGCAGTCATGAACCATTAACTCTGGGTCAATTCTTTCTTCCCTACAACATGCTATGGAATGGCCACAAGGCACACCAGATAACTGCCATCTCCTGCAATCACAGGTATGCAAACACAGGTCCACTGAGTAGCTAGAATTTCCAGACTGAACTCTGAATTTCTGTTGGCCAGCTTTTGAAACATGATAATTTGCAGCAAATTCAGTGTTCTTGTCTAACTTCTTCTTGATCTTTGGGCATATTCTCTGCCCTGCCCACTTTTCTATTGCCTCTCTTTGTTTGCTCACAAGCCTTTGCATGATTTTGTAGAATATATATTCAAGCATTGACAACACTGCCATCTCTCTGCCTTCAAGGATATAGCTGTTAAACACTTCAGAATTATTGTTCAGTAGAATGTCACATTTGGGAAATTCACTGAAAAATGCTTTACACCAAGTCTTTGGATCAAGTCTTTCAGTCCAATGAAATGCAGCTAAACTATCTGCATCCATTTTCTCACAGTTCTGCCTCCACTTCACTTTGTTGGGTGATCTTGCAATGGCCCACAGGTCTTGCTTCAGCAACTCTCCCTTGTGCTTCTCATTGAAATTCTGATCGATATGCCTCACACAAAACCTATGCTCTGCATCTGGCCACACTTTCTGCACAACATTTATCAATCCCTTTTGCTTGTCACTCATCATTGTGAAAGGAGCAGTGTTAGTGATGTTTAGATCATCTCTCAAAGTTGTCAGAAACCATTCCCAGGATCCTGTGCATTCTACTTCCACCCAACCCATTGCAATGGGGAAAATGCAGTCATTTGGATCAATTCCAACAACACTAAGCAAAACTCCTTTAAACCTTGTTTTCATGTGACATCCATCAATGAAAATGATAGGCCTGCACCCCTTTAACCAACCTCTTTTACATGCATCATAAGACCAATACAGTGTCTTCAGACACTTCCTGCCCATTGGAAATTTTGGGTCTTTCTTCAGCTCAGTTGATAACAGAAATGTAGAGCCAGGGTTTGTACTCCTTAATTCATGACCATAGTCCCATAGCCTACTGAACTGATGTTCTTCATCTCCATGGATCTCTTTCAGGGCTGCAATTCTAGCCCTTGTTAGCTTCCATCTGTTAGGGGTCACATTGAATGACTTGGTGATCTTTCTTGAAAATGTACCAAGTGACATTTTCTGGTCATCCCTGAACTCATCTATGAAATACTAGCATAGAAACTTAGCTGTCATCTTCCTTATCTTCCATTTCTTCTGACAAATGTGCTCTCCATAGTAAGACTTGATTACAAATTCACCTGTCCTGTTGTCCTTCCCAGCTTTTAGCCACCATGGGCATCCTCTTTCACAAACAGCCTCTATTCTAGTTTTGTCATTCTTGAAGTTCTTGATCTGAACTCTGTTCTTAACAGAATATGCTGTAATAACAAGTCTAAGCTCCTTCACATCAGCAAAGACCATCCCAACTTTGAAGGCAGGGGCAACCATGTCCACCTTTGAATTGAAGGTAGTAAACTTGTACCTCAACTGCTCTGCTTCCTCAATGGGCAAATTGAGATCTTCATCATCAAGCAAATAGTCATCTACCTCCACATCATCCTCTTCTTCCTGAGATTCTTCATCAACATCAAAGTCAATGTTGTTATCATATAGATCATCATCCCCCTCATCTATGTCATAATCACTGTCACTGAAATCTGATTTAGAAACAACTATATCTTCAACTACTGTTACTGCATCTTCAGTAACCAGATTGTGATCTACACCATGTATAACCAAGCTTTCAGGTTCTGTTCCAGTTGCAGGAAACTCTAAAAATGGCTCATCTTCATTGACAGAAATTACTGACTGGTGGAAAGATGCTTCACTTGCAGTGTGCATTGATGGCAATGTGCATATGGATTTAGCCCTGAAATTGCTGATGAAATCTGCATGGTCAACCATAATAGCCAGCACTTTATGATCAACACTAGCTCTGATGATGTGTTGCACATCATCATCAGATTTAATTCTAACCAAACCATCTGCAATTGATTTGTCAGGCAAGCACCAATAAAGTATGTGCTCACCCACTGGATATCCCAACCAAGTTAGGTGCTCTTCAAGGAAAGAATATGAGAATGTGTTGGCATCAACATAATCAAGAACTTCCACTGAAGGGTTCCAGTACTCCAAATTAGTGATTGGGCCACAGAAAAGTCCACCATGCTCAAGTTCAAGTGTAAAGAAAGAAGTGTCCACCCTTTGTCCATTTTCTGAATCACACACTGCATCAAAGATATGTAATTTGTAAGCATTGCAAAATGATGTATAAACTTAACATTAAAATTCAGTTAGCTCAGAAGTTCAGTTAAATAAGATGTTCAGTTAAGTACAGTGCACCGAAAACATTCTGAATAAGTACAGTGTACTGAAAACATTCTGAATAACTACAGTGCACTGACAAAATTCAGATAACTACAGTCAACTGACAAAATTCAGATAACTACAGTTAACTGAAAAAATTCAGTCATATGTCCAAAAAGCAAGACTTGGGCTAACTGTAGTTGCTACCATTGAACACAACCAACTGGTGGCATCACTAACACCATTGCACAACTAAACATTAGCATTGGACAACTAAATTTGGTGGCAATGAACACAATCAACTACTGTCAGATTTTCTTCCGGTGCACATGAATGGAGGACAGAACAAGTCTAACATATGAAAGAGAAAGAATGAACCACTTGTCAAGCCAAACCCTAGACTTTGCGAGGCTAAAACCTAACTTAATCTACTCGGCCTAAACCCACTACGCAAAAACCCTAGCTTTACTGCCGTAAGAGAAAACAAACAGCATTCAACAAGCACACCACCGTGAGACAAACAGACGCGGCAGGGCTGATGCCGCCGACGACGACACACCGGCGACGAGGAAACAGAGCACGGGCGGAAGAACAAGGAAGAGGGGGAAGAGGGCACAGGAGCTTACCATAGTCCGGTGGGATGACGCCGAACGGCCGGATGAGATGAGTGGAAGCAGGTGGCTCAACCCCGCCGGCAAACTCCGGCGACGATGGTGCCATGACAACCGTCATCAAGAATCGCCGCCACCACACTGTCTTCCCCGACAGGACAGCCGGAGAGATCGAACGGATCTGTCCAACGGCTGTTGCATTTAATTCAGGTGGGTGTACTGCAGGTTGAATAGTGTGAACGGCAGGGGCCTTCGTGCAAAATTGCCAGAGCTGACCGGTCCACCCTGTGAACTGCCACATGGCACGCTGTGAGTGGCTGTGGACCAAAACATCACATAGGGTGTCAAGTTTGTGGACTCCTCAGTCACATTTTGCAAGTTTTGGACTAAAACATCACATTCGGTGCAAGTTTGTGGACCTGGGGTGCTATTACCTCTATAAGAATGTATGCAGGGGATCGTGGGCCAGGGGGCCACCTTTGTGGTGATGACATGGTGCATTAAGCTGCGTGGCCCACTGTTCCTCTCCATGTTCAATCCCGTGGTGTTGGTGGTCTGCGCCGTGCTGGGGTGGGCGTTCCTCGGTGAAAAGATACACCTCGGTGAGTAAGTGTTTGCTCTAGGTTTTTTCTTTTAAACATAAAAATGGCCTGAGCTATAGGAGATCAATGAGGTGTTAAGCATATGTTATGGTATGTACTAGATGTTAATCTCGCACCTAGTACTCCTAGTACACCAAAGATTCTTAGTGCATATATATGTGCCCTAGACAGACCCATAAAACATGCACCCTTGAGAGCATTTTTCTTCAACAAACTTCATCCTTTTTATCTTGACATGCATTTCTTTTGCTGTCACTGCCCAGTGCGGTCGGATCGGTGCTTATCGTGGTCGGCCTCTACCTGGTGCTATGGGGAAAGGCCAGGGAGGCGCGCGATCCGCCCCACGTCGAGGATGGTTGTGGTGCCAGTGTGTGATGCGGAGGCCACCAAGGGCCGCCTGGATGACAGCGGCGAGTTCTCGCAAGATCAAGATCCTAGCGCTACTCACGTTGATCAACTAGTGTCCATTGTTAGTATGCATGGGCAATCGCTGAACTAACTTGTGTGTTTGTTTATGGACAACGTATTTCCGAACCCTTTTGACACCATAATCTGATTCATAAGCATAGCTATCTATTTTGTTGGTGCGTTTAGAACAGAAAATAACATAGTCGCATGCAAACAAAGACATACTAGATTCATAGGTCCACCGCCAGTAAGATGCTTTTTTTGGAAAAGGATGTTAAACCTTGGCCTCTGCATCAATCGATGCATGCAGCTATTTTTATTAATTATTCCATAAAGGTCTGAAAAAAACATATGCGTACCTGAGCAAGTAGACTTGAGGAAGAAAATTTTGGCAGAAGCGCATGAATCCTCATATTCGATACACCCAGGCAGCACCAAAATGTACGAAGATCTTCAACAAATATTTTGGTGGGATGGAATGAAAAGGGACATCGCATATTTTGTCGCTTGTTGTGACATCTGCAACAAATTAAAGGCGGAACATCAGAAACCCGCCAGACTTCTCCAACCTCTACCCGTCTAACAATGGAAATGGGACGATGTCTGCATGGACTTTATCACCGGTCTACCCAAGACTCAACGGGGCAATGATGCTATATGGGTCATAGTGGACAAACAAAAAAGCGGCTCACTTTATTCCCATCCGCACCACTCTCCGTGCTGATCAACTCACACAGTTGTACGTATCTCGGATTGTCAGTCTGTACGGAGTGCCAAGAACAATCACTTCGGACCGAGGTTCATTGTTTACCTCCACATTTTGGTCTCGACTCCATCATGCTTTGGGAACCACTCTTAAATATAGCACCGCCTATCATCCACAGACAGACGGTCAGACCGAGCGAGTAAATCAAATCCTTGAAGATATGCTACGAGCATGTGCCTTAGCCCATGGACCGAAATGGGAAGATTGTCTGCCATATGCAGAATTCTCGTACAACAACAGTTTTCAAACCAGCCTGAAAATGTCACCCTTTGAAGCATTATACGGCTATAAGTGCTGCACTCCATTAAATTAGTCTCAAACTGGAGACAGCCGTACCTTCGGTACCGATATGATATTGGAGGCAGAGAAGCAAGTCAAGGAAATTCGAGATAGACTTCAACTGGCTAAGTCACGACAGAAAAGTTAATATGATGCCAAGCATAGACAAGTCAGTTTTGAACCCGGTGAACATGTGTATCTCCGAGTCACCCCCATGAAGGGAGTCAAGAGATTTTAGACCTGAGGCAAATTGGCACCAATATATATTGGTCCGTTCCCGGTTATGACACGAGTTGGCACCATTGCTTATCAGTTGGAATTGCCACCAGAATTATCGGACGTACACAACGTGTTCCACATGTCACAACTGCGAAGGTGTATTTCACCACCCGAGAAAAATACTAATATGTCAGAAATTGAGCTTGCCAAGGATCTAACTTATGAGGAGAGACCGTTCAGAATCTTGGATGAGGCAGAAAGGGTTACACGCTGTAAAGCAATCAAATATTACAAGGTCCAGTGGGAGCATCACACAAAAGACGAAGAAACCTGGGAAAAAGAGGAATTTTTAAGGACAACCTACCCAGAACTGTTTTCCCAAGCAACCGAATCTCGATGATGAGATTCATCTCAAGTGGTGGAGGTTTGTGACAGCCTGGTTTTTGCCTTCTCTCTTTTTCCGGACTTTCAGTTGTCTTTGCTTTGGATTTGGTGTTTTGGATCAATTTAAATGGACTTGAACACTTGGGCATACCCTTGATTTTCAGCCAAGTGACCCATCCACCTCTAACTCTCCTTTTCTTCTCTGCAAAAACTCCAACAAAAGCCAAATGGATATTTTTATAAAAGAAAATTATTCATTTCCCCCCTGAAAATCCCTTTAGAGAAGAAAGCTCCAAAGCAACCCCTAGATTTCTTGCTCCAAAAATCCTGAATAAATTCACAAATATTCTTTGAACCCTAGGGCACCTTCGTGAGCAAAAATATTGCATAACTTTTTGTAACATTTTTAATACAAAAAATCATTTCTGTTCTGGACAAAATGATCACTTTGCATAGCAAGTATATTTTTGCTTGATCTTTTGGGGCTGATCTTTTCTGAGCTTGATTACCTTCCTAAGAGATCACTAAACCCCAAAGCAAAACCCTTAACTCCCACTAGATTTTTCTCAGTTAAGCTCACAAGTTTCTGTCCAAAAACTTGCCAGGAAGATAGACACTCCCAGAGTGCACCTGTGACCCAACCAAGTGTGCAAAACAACTAAAACGACAAAGGACTAGCTGCCAGACATGTTGTTTGGGCTTAGCTCAACCTGATGCCATAGTTCACGCGGTGACCACATCCGTCCAAGGTGGCTGGCATGGGTCTGACGCGCTCTGCGTTAAGCCAACGCCTCTGTTTCGCGCGTGCTCGCTACCCTCGCTGCTAAACCGTGCCAAACCGCGCCACCATCTTTGTTTGAGCCCCCTTAACTGCACCCTGGCGCTCGCAAACGCCAGAGCTCAACGCAGCGAGCACGGGCACGGCGCGGCCAACGCAATAGTGCACCCGTGCCCCTATGCTCGCCGCATACCGCGCTCCTGTGCTCATCGCAGCTCACCTACAGCTCCCGCGCGACCTCCTGCATCTTCCCCCTCTCTCACTGACGCCATTCGTCGCCGGGCAAGGCTCGAGAGAACTCCAGCGAGCTCTCTATCCCCGCCTCGGCCTCGGCTATAAATAGAGCTCCCCCGAGCTCGTTCCTCTCCTCACACACACTCATCATACCTTCACACACCCGTAGAGCGCCGCAGCCCGGCCGGGAAGGCCTCTGGCCGCCATCCCCACCCCGAGCACGCCGACGATCCCCCTCCTCTTCCCCCACCCGCTCCAGAGCCGCTCGAGCTCAGCTGACCCCTCCAGCGTGTTCGTGGTGATCCACTGGTGCGTGTTGGTGTTGTTGAACACTACAAAAAAAGACACATCCGTGATATTTTGGGCCGAACGAAAATTGTTTCTGTCATACATATGACACTTCTATGACGATAATTGTGACAAAACCCGGTATCATCGTAGATGTGGTGGGCTCCTACTTCTATGACAAAAAATCATGATAGAAAATGGGCTTTTCGTCCTGGGCGGGCCGGAGACGCAGCTGCATGAAATTCTTTGGGACGTCCATGACGGAAAAAACCATGGTAGAAGTGAGGGGAAGGAAAATTTTGGGGAGTTGCCGGTTATGGTGGGAGGTCGGGGGCCGAGCGATGCGCGTTTCTCTCGTACAGGTGCAAGGCGTTGGCTCTAACTGAACCCGAGCGAGGCGTTGGGCTCTAACTGAACCCGAGCAATTGCACTGCAGGTACGCGTTACTGAACCCGAGCAATCGATCGATGGCTGTTAACTGAACCCGATGGAGCAATTCCTTCGGTACTGCTGCTATCTGAAGCCGATCG